TACTTGCTGAATGACCAAGTCAATGAATCAACGAATGAATGAACTCATAGATACAAATGAAAGGACTCAAGACAAGCTTAGTCATTCTCCCTAAGGGCAGTCAGATCTCCAAAGCTAAACCTCTACCCAACGAACTAGCTAACTTCCTCCCTCCCATCTTCTATCAGATCATTTATTGAGCCCCTACTATGAGACCCAACAGTCCCGTGAGGTTGACAGCTATCAAGAGTCCATTTTGCAGATGAGGAAAGTGAGGCTCAGAGAGGCCAGGACACTTGCCCAAGCTCACTCACTCTCAGAGCCAGAGCCTGAATCTGAGCAGGTGGTTTCTTCTGACGCCCCTGCCTTGTTGATCTGTCTGTTCAATCAGTCATTCCTTCCTTCCTCTTTCATTCACTCACTCTGTCTTACAGGTATGCCTGAACCCTTCCTCTGTGCCAAGGGAAGATAGGAGTGAACCAGGTTAAAGGGTCCCCGCCTCAGGTGAGCTGGCCCCTTGCCCACTGGGAAGATAGGAGTGAACCAGGTTAAAGGGTCCCCGCCTCAGGTGAGCTGGCCCCTTGCCCACTGGGATCTCCCCTAAGCCTATGGGGCCCATCCAGGGTGTATGTTGGAATAATTGCCACCCTCTCCCCACCTCCCGCCACACACACACAAGGAGCTGTCCCAGAGGTGGCCAGTCCTCCTGGTCAGCTGGGTGGAACCCAGGCCACTCCACCCTCAGGAAAAACAGGCTCCTGGTGAGACTGAGCAGCCCTTTGTGTGGGGGGCAGGCAGGGCGGGCAGCCGAGCAGGGCAGCCGTTACTCACCACGGAAGAAAAATAAGAGTATTGCCGTTTGGTCAATGGCCCGCCTGTCACCTCCTTCTCCTGCCCCACCTCCTGTGGCCTTTCCTATTCCCTGACCTCATCTGGAGCAGACCTGCATTTATGGAGGGCCTCCTATGCCCCTGGCGTGGGTCTCTGTGACCCACCCTCGTTGATGAGAAAACCTGCTCAGAGAGGTGGAGTGAGGTGACCTCCTTGGGGTCACACAGCCAGCAGTGACCAGGGCTCGGGGCAGAGAGGGCAAGTTCATGCTCAGGAAGGGGCTGAGGCGGAAAGGAAGTTGAAGTCATAGTGAAAATGAGAGCCCGGTCTCCCTTCCGCATTTCTGCCAGCCAGGGTGCCAGCTCACGGGATCCAGGGATACCCAATGCAGGGGCTACCCAGGGGGTGCCCAAATCCCCCTCACGCTGGTAAAGTTCTGACGTCCAGCAAACCCCAGATTACAGACCCAGGAACAGAGAGGTTAACCCACTTCCTGAGGTCACACAGCAGTGAGTGACGGAGCTGAAATGTGAACAGAGGTGGGTCAGACTCCAAGAGGGGTGAGTCCAAGGTGGCTTTCCAAGAAGGAAGCTAAGCCGGCCACTGGGCTTTTCAGAGACCCAAAGGGACCAGAGGCACTCAGATCTGGCTTCCAGGTCCAGCTCTGCCATGAGCCAGTGGGGCAACCACGGGCAAATTGATTTTCATCTGAGCCTGTTTTCTCGGCTATAAAATGGGAGTCAGCCTTCCTGCCCCTGCCCACGTCCAGCGGGGGTGAGGCTATGACACCACAGAAGTAAACATCAGGCACGAGACATTGGTTATAAACTCAACAATGTTGTGCTGGAGACAGTCCACAACCACCCCACAAAGCAGGCACTACCATCATCCCCATTTTACAGACGAGGAAACTGAGGCCCCAGGAGTGAGGGAACTTCCTGGGAGCTGGCATCTGAACCAGGTAGCCAGTCTCCAGTCAGCCGTGGTTCTTACGCATTAAATCAGGAAAGTAGGAAACGTTGATCGTTCCTGGCACTTAGTTGCTGCCTGTAAATATTTCATGGCTGAAAAGGCGTTAGCCTTTGTCCAAATACAAGTTTAGCTTTGCCCCTGCTACCTTCCGCTCACCTGCCTGGCACAGAGGGGCTCTCGGGGGCGGGGGGGCGCCCTAGGGATGAGCTGGAGGAAAACACACCCTGGAAAAGGCTGGGGGGACAGGATGAGGAAGGAGATGATGCTCTAGGGCCCCGAACATGTGCCTTGACTGTCCTTGCAAAGTGGGAGTTGAAAGCCCCATGGGGGTGGGGAGGGGTGAAATAGAATGCATTGTGGTTCTAGTTATGCACATGTGAGATGTGCCTGGCTGGGCCGGCTGGCTGCTGAGAGCCCCATTTGAAAGATGAGGAAACTGAGGCTCAGGGAGGCCAGGTGACTTGCCTGAGCTCCCTGGTAAGGGCGCAGCAGGCCTGTCTGAGCAGTTTAGGTTCTTATCTCTATACTACAGAGCATCTTCCCCACGACTCCGGGCCCAGACAGACGGAGACAGGCCACTTTGGAAGTAAAGGGCATGGATTTCAAAATTAGACTCATGGAGTTCCAATCCCAGCTCTGCCTCTTCCCAGCTAAAAGAGACCCTGGGCAAGCAACTTCGCTGCTCAGACCTCAGTGTCTCTCTCGCTCAAAAACAGGTACAATCATCGTTTTGTATCCAAATGTGCTGAGAGTGTTTGGCTCAGTGCCTGGCACATAATAAGTGCTCAATAAATGTTTGCTTCCATCGTCATGACCACTGATACAGCCCAGGCTTGGCGAAAGCCGGACAGAACCTTGCACCCAGAGTTCAGAGTGGTAGCTGGGGCCCAGGACCACAGATATCTTAAGAGATCGGAATTAATCTTTAACAGGTGAACTCCGCTTCAAATTAGCAATGCAGAGCATTCCAGAGGTCAGGCTGGCATGAAATGTTCTCTTGACTCACCAGATTCTGTGTGTGACAAGAAAAGGAGCTGTTCCCTGGGTCCCTAGGATTTGGGGAGGGGCCTGGAAAGTCTTTCCTGGAGTCAAATGGGGGAAACTGAGGCCAACAGCAGATCAGGGGCTTGTGAGGGGTAGAGAAGCCCACTCCATGTGGGCCACACACCCCCTTCCAGGAGCAGATGAGGGAGCTTAAAGAACTCAGCCCTCTCCAAATGATGTGTTCAGTCGATCAACAGGGCAATAGAGATTCACTGAGCACCTACTATGTGCCAGGCACAGTGAGGCCAATCTTGTGTGTTTCTCTCCCTCCTACATCTCCTTCCTGCGCCCTCTCCAGTCCTCACCGGGGGCCTCACATCTCATACCTAGATGGCATCCCCAGCCTGCAGACGGGCCTCCACACCTGGCCCCAACTCTGCAGCCAGAGGCACCTTTCCAGACCACACATTCGGCATGTCCCTCCCAGCCTGGACTTTTAGGGCTTCTGGGTCTGACCTAGCCCCTGCCTATCGGATCCCTTGCCCTCTTGTTCACGTCACACACACTCCAAAAGGAACGATTTCTCGGCTCTTATAAGCTCCGGGTTTACTCACCAACTTACTCCATTTCAAAATGACCCCACATGGTTTACAAACGTAACCCTGACCGGCCCATGAGTGCCATCTGTCATAGGTTTGGGGAGCCCCCACCCTGATTTACCAAGAAAGGTGGGAAAGAGGCGTCCCCAGGCTTTCTGGTTCGCATCATTATTCAAACAGAATGAACTCGAGAAACATGGAAATGGCCAATTACCTTTTTTCACCCCCTTCCATTCAAAAGATGTTTGGGGCAACAGCCACCACACAAGCACCATAACGGCTAACGCGGAGCTCTGAGTGTGTGCCAGGCACTGCACAAGGCACCTCACAGGTCATCCATCCTTGGGACAGCCCTGGGCGTGGGCCACCCTCATGCTACCCCCATTTTACAGATGGCCTGTCCCGCAGACAGCTAAGGGACTAGCTCAAGGTCACACAGTAGTGGGGTGGCAGAGCAGGGTTTGGGCTCACACAGGCCCCCTTTTAACCTCGCAGATGACCCGGTCCTGAACCTTCTACCCGACCTCCCTAAAGAGGCCACCTCTTCATCTTCCTCTGGAGGCAGTCACCAAATTACCCCTTGTTCTTGCCCCAGAGCTCAAGTGGCAAAACTGAAACCCTTGAGTGATTCTTAGCAACTCAGAACAAAGCTCACTCACAACATCTGCTTAGAATTTCAGGGGTTCAAGCCCCCATTCCCACCCGCACCCAAGGCCCTTGTTTTAGACGCTGAGCCGGAACAGCCATGGGCCCACCCCTCCCCATCACTTCCAGGGCACCCCCTGGGTGCCAGGTGTGGAGAGCTTTGGAGCTGGACAGCCCTGGGTTTAAATTCCACTTGGCTACATCCCTGACTTGAGCCTCAGTTTCCGCATCTGCAAAATGGATGGTGTAAGTAGCTCAAGCAACGTGTCTGTGGTTGGTGTCTCCAGGCAAGCGGGGAGTGTGGGAGGTCTGTCCCTGCCCTCAGGGGCCTCTGGAGCGTCTCCACAGCAAAGCTGGAGGTTAAAGATTTTCCTGCCTCTTGGGGGAAGTGCCATCTCTCTGGGACTCAGTAACTAAAAGGAGCCTTGGTAAGTTCGACTCTCAATTCCTTCCAGCTTGCTTAGAGACCCAGGGCCAACCTCAGGACCCCCAACTCCCTCTTCCAAGCACCTCCAAATGGGGATGACCCCCAAAAGTGGGCTGCCGGGTGTCCTGCCTGTGGTTCCTTAGCTTGGGTGCCTGGCCCGGACCTCCCTCCCCTAGACCTGCAACCACAGGACCCACGTTGCCGCCCATTTCACAGGTGATAAAACTGAACCCCAGGGAAGTGGTGCCTGGCCCAAGGGCACCGAGCGGGTCCCCGCGCCTCCAGCGCCTCTAGAGAACCTCTGGAGTCTCCGCGTCGTCCCCACGAGCGCGATAGGACACCGGCTGGGCCGTTCCTCCCCTGGTCCCTGCCCCGCGGGCCCAAACCACACTCACCTCCTGGACGGCGCGGCGCCGGCGGCCGGGAGCGCGGCGCTTCCTGAATGCCAGCGGCCCGCCCGGCGCCCGCTCGCCCGCCTCGTTTCTCCTCCCCCGGCTCAGGTTCCAGGACGCGCGCCGCCCCTGGGCCTGCACCCCGCCCACCCCGCCGCCCGCGGGCCACGGCAGCGCGGAAGGTGGCTGGCGGCCCCGGCGCCCACCCGATCGCAGGGATCGGCCGCCTCTGCGGCGAGTGGACCTGGAGCCTCAGTTTCTTTACCTGGAACATAGGCAGCATGATCCCTGGATCAAGGTGCTGGCGCTTCTTGGGGAGAGCCCCGGTCGAAAGCCCGAGAAATCCTGTTTGCTCATCTGTTCATGGATCCCGGCATCCGCTCGTTCATTCGGCAGGCAATTCAGACAGGTCTCTGTGGGTCCGTCCAGGGCTCAATAAATGCCAGCTCCTTTCCTTCACGTCTTTACCAGCACTTAGCGCGGAGCCTGGCACTGGGTAGGTGATCAGGGCATGGTTTTTTTTAGTTGGAGAGTGAAGGTGAGCCCCACACACAGTCTCCCCTCCTACCCTAGCCACTTGATTGCCTCCATAGGTTTGGGCAGCTCATTTCTGCCAGATTGGTTGGGAGCCTAGTGGGCCTGAGCTCCACAGCCAGACTCCCCGAGCCCAAACCCTGGCTCTGGGATTCACCAGCTGAGCAGCCACTCCTTTCACCTCTGTGCCTCAGTGTCCCCAGTGTAGCGCGGGGTGTAGATACGTCCCCGCCTCATAGTCACGGTGAAGATGCTGGGAACAGAGCCCAGGTCTAGGCAGAGCCCAAGGAACGTTTTTAGGGACGTTTTTAGCCCTTTTATCATTATTGTTTTTATTCCATTTGAGCTGACTTCCCCCATTGGTAAGACAGTGGGGTCCGTCCTTCCTCCCAGCTGGCAAATAGAAATAGCTTCCATGAGGTGTTGGTTCGGCAGCTAGAAGGTGGAATTTTAGAATTGTTGGAGAGAGACAACCAGAAGTGATATATTCAAACACCACTATGAGACATTTACAAAAAAATAAACCTTAATAATGAACTCACTGAGCATGGGGGTGGAGGGTGGCAAGTAAACCTTCCACTCAGTGGGGCTGTGAGGTCTGCATTGCTGTGTCCATTTTCTAGATGGAAAACTGAAGCTTGGAGAGGACACGGCCTCTCCACAAGCTGCTCCCTCCAGGAGGGGGTGGGGAAGGGGAGCTTTTCCCTCTGGGATTCCAAGATCTTCAACAGCGCAAGCAGGCAGCTATCTGGCCCGTGGTGAGGAATGTAAACAGAGGCTCCCGCAGGCCTCCACCTGCCTGACCCCTGATAGAAAGCCTGCGGGCTGGAAGCCTTCCTGGCTGGGGCAGGGGGCTGGGCCAGGTTGGGAAGCGGAGGAATGATGGGCAGGACTCGTCTGGGGCCCATTTTACACAAAGGTCCTTCTCAAATGAAAGGAAAATGACCAAGATGATCCAAACTAACAGAAGGCGAATGGAGGGAGCTGGAGAAGATGGGGCTGGGGATGGTGCTTACGCTCCTCCACGGTCTGGGGGATGAGGCGTGAGCCCTCAGCATCAGCGTAGCTAGCCCAACTCCCCCCTGACGCCCATTTCACAGACTGGGCAACTGAGGTCCCCATGCAAGGAAGTGACTCATCTTGGACCAGGAGGCTGGATCTTCGCCTCTGTGCCCAATGCCTGGGTTCAAACTCTGCCTTGCCACTGGTTAGGTGGGGGCGTCTCCCTCTCAGCACCTCAGTCTCCTCATCAAAAAATTGGGTATCAGTTTCCATGAAGCAAGAACCATGTCTGTCTTGTTTGTAGCTATAGGACCAGTTCCTGGAGCTTAGTAGGTGCTTTAAAAATACCAGTTGATTGAGATAACGGGAGAGGGGAAGAGAGAGGTATCATTTAATAGGTATAGAGTTTCAGTTTTACAAGATGAAAAGAGTTGGGATGGATGGTGGTGATGGGTGCACAACAGTGTGAATGCATTTAATGCCACTGAACTGTCCACTTAAAAATGATTTAAGATGGCAGGTTTTGTTATGTGTACTTTACCACAATAAAAAAAATGGAGGCGGGCCGGCCGAGTGGTTCAGCTGGTTAAGAGCTCGTTCAAGAGTGTGAGGTCTGAGCAACAGCGGTTCGAGTCCAGGCCCGAGCTGAGCTGCTACTGAGCTGCCAACAGGTGGCAGGATGGCTCAGCTAAAAAAAAGTGGAGGAAAAAAAATACCGATTGATTGAAAGCATGAAAGTGGACCTCGCATGGAAGGTGTGAGTAGGAAGAGAAAGTGAGATGCTCATGGCACCCAGCAAACAGTCGCTATTTTCACTAAATATGAGCAAGGGCCACTGCTAGGATGTGGCTGCTATTATTTTACTGTTTCTTGTTGCGGGTGGAACTCTGCAGCCTCTGCCCTGGAAGGACAAGAGACTCTTGACAGAAAATTGTTCCTCACAGGGAAGTCACAATTTTCAGTACAAGCTGAGAGTCCCGTGGGGGCTACAGGCAGCCCAGCGCTTCAGCCCATCTAGCGGAACCCCTTCCGATAAGAGGGGTCCCTGGGCAGAGCCTCACACTTAGTAAGCACCTACTGTTTGCCAGACTGGGTGCCAGGCGTGGGGAGAGCGCGGTGAGCCAGATGGGTCAGCCTGTCAGGGACTTTACACGCGGTGTGCCTGCCCTCATCACCCGCTCCCCACGCACCCAGTTATACGAACAAGACATGTGCACCTCATTTTAGAATTGGCATAGCCCTGATGCTGCCAGTAACCCACTTCATCTCCTGACAGCCTAGAAGGGAAAGATTCTTATGATATTTTCTAGAAAAAGAGACAGAGAGGCCACTTGCCTGAGATCCCACTGCTGGTAGGATTTGAACCCAAGCCCAGCGGACTCTAGAGAGTAGTAGCACACTCAATAATACTATAGTCTCTAAAAGACAGACAATAACAAGTATTAGCAAAGATGATCATCAGAGCCCTCTTAACACTGCCGGTGGGAATGTAAGATGGTACAGCCACTTTGGAGAACAGTTTGGCAGTGCCTGAACATGTTAAATATAGTTACCATGTGACCCAGCAATTCCACTCCTAGGAATATAGCCAAGAGAAATGAAAACATATGACCGTACAAAAACTTGTACATGAATGCGCCTAGCAGCATTATTCATAATAGCCCAAAGCAGAAACAACTCAACTGGTGAATGGATAAACAGAATTGTGGTCTATCCATACAATGAAATAGTATTCAGCCATAACAAGAGTGCAGTGCTGATAGGTGCTCTGATGTGGATGAAACTCAAAAACATTATACTCTGTGAAACAAGCCAGACATCGAAGGCCACATATTGTATGATTCCACTGACATGAAATGTCCAGAATAGGCAAACCCATAGAGACAGACGGCAGGTTAGTGGTTGCCAGGGGCTGGGGATGATGGGGAGGTTTGGAGGGGTAAGAACTAAAGGGTATGGGGTTTCTTTTTAGGGTGATGAAATGTTCTCAAATTGACCGTGGTGATGGTTGCACAACTCCATGAATGTACTAAAAACCACTGACTTGTACACTTTAATTGAGTGGATTGTATGGTATGTGAATTATATTTCAATAGAGCTGTTACAAAACATTTCAGAAAAATAAACCATGGTCTCTGGAGTCAAAAGGATGTGGGTGTGGCTCTATCGCCTCTCTAAGCTGTGTCACCTCGGGCAGGTGACCCTGCTTCTCTGAGCCTCACTTCTTCATCTATAAAATGGGGCTAGTACCGGCCTCTACCTTGCACGGTTGGGTGGATTAAACATGATAGTGCTCGTGAGGGCTGGGCAGTGCTCGAACTTAGTCACTGCTCAGTAAGTACCCCCATGAGGTCACTGCATTTCCCCAACCAAGACTAGCTAACATCCCCCTCCGCCGTGCTCTCCCGTTTACCCCCGCTCTCCCTTACACTACGTAACATCTTCCCAGTCATCTTGTGAAGTTGGCATGAGTGGCCCCATTTCATTGTCCCCATTTTACAGATAAGAACTACTGAGTCCCGAAGGCAGCAGGTATCCTGGCACAACTCTTCCCCACACTCCCAGGCAGAAGCTTCTTTCCTCACCCTCCCCATGCTGTTCTGCCTCTGCTGTCTTCCCTCTTTCTCTTCCACGAGCACACCCTTAGCCCAGCTGGTGACCTCACAGATCCAAAGCTTGGCTTAGGCCAACAGGTGATGTCCAGGTCCCTGGGGGCCTGGAGTGGGTCTCCGAGTTACGAGTTACGGATGCAGCCAAAACTACCCCATGGGGCTGGATTCCTGCAGACTCTGGCCATCTCCTCCCCTCCTCCCCACAGCCCTCAGAAGGGTGGGGCTTCTCCAGCCCTTTTGCATATGGACAAACTGAGATTCTGCACAGGGAAAGCCCTTTGCCCAAGGCTCCTGTCGGTGGTGCAGTCAGGATCTGAACTCAGGACCATCTGAGTTCAAACAGCCTCCTCCAGCTCCTATAGCAGCCGCCTGGCACTGCCCCATGGGCCTCAGTCCCCTCACCTCTGATGTGGGAAGCCCTGCTTACACCCACCTGGATGAGATCAGGGGTGTGAGGTGGTGGGGGTGAGAAATTCTGGTTGGCCCTTTTGTTCTTTCTCCAGTGAGTGCCACAGGTGGGCTCAAATCATGATGAGGAGAAGCAAAAAACAGGAAGCACTTGGAGAAAGGGGATGGGGGCAGTACAAGGTTCCAGCATGTATGCATTTACAGCGAGTGCCAGATGCTGTGTAGGGCTTTATCCTCAAGGGTTCCTTCCAGCCACAGGAGAGGAAGCACACCCAGGGAGGTGAAGGAACCTGCCTAAGGTCACACAGCCGGGAGGGCGTGGGGTCTGATGGGCTTCCTCTGGGATCCCGCCCCGATGGTCAGCAGCTGCCCTCGCCCACTGAAATCACATCCCGCCACATTTACCAAGAAGCCATGGAGACAGGATACAAAGAGGCTGGAGACAATCAGCTGGTTTGTCTGCCTCGGTCCAGCAAATAGCTGGCCTTGGTCCCAGAGATGGAGGCCCCGCCCTGCCAGGGACCTTCAATGGGGCTCTTCTGGAATTCTCCCTGGGGCAGAAACCTGAGGCCAGGTGGAGAGGAAGCCTTTCCCCAGATGACTGTTGTCATGGGCACAGCCACTCTCAGCTGCTCCGCCACTGGCTGAGTCCGGTCCTCTGGGCAGCAGGCCTAGTGGCCTGTGGGTGTGGCCGGCCCACAGCTGGCCACGGGCATTTCAAAGATAGCCTTCATCTGAACTTGTGGCATAGCGAGGGAGGGGGACTCCTAGGCCTTGGTGCCAGCAGGGACCCAGTAATTCAGGGCTTCCTGGGTAAGCTATTGGGGGGTCCATGGAGACCCCTAGAGTGGTGAATGAAATTGTAAGAGGGGTAAATGAGCACCTTCTTGAGAGAGGCTCATGGCTTTCACAGCACGTAAGTAACGAAGGCCTGATTTTCCCAGACAGGAAGAGGCAGACGTTGCATCGGGGTGTAGAGACGGCCCCTTTTCTGAGCGCAGGATCCTAGCTAACAGCTTTTAAAATTGTGAATTGGCTTTGGCCCCCTCTACTCATAGACGCTTATGTCTTCCCCTGCTCTTAGAACAAAAACCAAACTCACAGTGGCCTCAGCATCTCTAGACTTCATCCCTCACTGTCCTCCCGCCTGGATCTCCAGGCTCCATCCGCTTTGGCCTCTCTCTGTCCTTAGAGCACGCTGCTTTCTCTCCTGTCTCAGGGCCTCTGCACTAGCTGTAGCCAGTCTCTTTCCATGGCCTGCTCTTCCTCCCCCTTCGGATCTTCGCTCAACTGTCACCTTCTCGGAAGCTCTGCTTCCCTCTTCCATCTAAATATCTCCCAGTGAGGGCCGGCCCAGTGGCTCAGTTGGTTAAGAGCTCGCTCAAGAGTGCGAGCTCTGAGCAACAGGGTCGCCAGTTCGATGCCCAGCCCGAGCCGAGCTGCCACTGAGCTGCCAACAGGTGGCAGGATGGCTCAGCTAAAAAAAATAATAAAATAAATAAATATCTCCCAGTGAAACATGAGCCCCAGGTGGGACCTGACCTGTCTTAGTCCTGCAGGACCCTCCTGAGCCTAGCCCAGGGCCTCGGACATAGTAGGTCCTCAGCAAACAGGAGTGAATGACTCACTTTCCAGATACTATAGTCCTCTCTGGGTCTGGCCTGGAGGTGATTAAGGGTTAATCATCATTACAGCCGCCCTTTATCAAGCGCCCTGCAGGCACCAGGCCCTCTGTTAAGTGCTTTGCATATGTGGACCTATTAGAGGTCACAAAGAGAGACGGATGGCCCTGCTTGTGGATGGAGTGTTGATTTCAGTGGAATTATGAATACAAACCAGGGGCTGGTTACCGTGACAAGAGGTGTCCATTGCAGAGTGTCAGAGCTGGGAAGGAGCTTGAAGCTGTCCAATCCCCTATTTTATAGATGAGGAATCTGAGGCCCAAAGGGGAGGAGAGACTTGCCCAGAGGTCACACAGAAGATCAGGGCAAAGTGAGAAACAGCAGCCAGATCGCATGATCTTTTCTAGGGTGTTCCTGTTGATGTGTTGATATGGGCCCTGCCATATCTTTAAGAGCGAGGAGTAAGTGAGCATGCTGTGGTTTAACTGCATTTGGGCAGAGTTGCCCCTGCAGGAGCCCCTAGCAGACCGTAGCATCATAATACATAAAAAATATTAATAAAAGCCATTTATTGAACATCTTCTATGTGTTGGGCATGTTACACAGGTTATGTTATGTAACCCTGCAAGGGAGAGGTTTTCCTGTCCCATTTTACAGATGCGGAAACTGAGGCTCAGAGCCGTGAATTGATCACACAGCTACAAAGTTATACAACTTGGATTTGAACCCCCAAATTGTGAGGTTGTGGTAGTGATAGCAGCGTGGTGGTGGTCGTGGTGGTGGTGGCAGCAGCAGCAGCAAAAGTAACAGGACTCTCCTTTAATCTCTCTCCACAGAGGCTGGCCTAAAGTCAGAACCCCAGCGCACCCGTTAGAGAGGCTTCAGACTTTCCCAACAGTGTTCAAATGGGGCTCCTCGTTTAACTCTTGGAAACCACCCCGAACATGTTATGGCGTAAGGCACCCTTGCCAACACACATCCTTTGAACGCAGGCAGGAGGCTGCGGGTGCAAGGAGGTGCAGACCAGCCGAGCTGCGGCGGGCTCGGGGCAGTGCAGACAGCGCCACCTACTGGGCCCTGCGGGAGCTGCAGGCAGTCAGAGCGCAGCCCCGAGGGCGGCTGGGCGCTCAGCCCGACGTGGGGCGACGTGAACCAGGGGAACTCATCAACTAACCAACAAACCCAGGGATATGTTCCCCTTCCATTCTCCTATCCTCTCCCTCCTCCCGCCCCCCGTCCCGGAATAGCGATTATTGAGTCAACATTAATGATTACGCCGCCCAGCGCCTGCCCAGATGTTTCATTGAGTAACAATTAGTATCCCCATTGTACAGATGAGGAAATGGAGAAGTGATTTGTCCAAGGCCACTCAGCTACTAAGTAGCAGAGCCAGGACTCCAATACTTGATCACATCACCATATACCCCGCATCACATTAATATATCCATGAAATCTTATTTAACACTAAGACAGTTTCTGTGTTTCAGAAACTTCTAATTGCTTTACCAACAGTAATGTTTAATTTAAACCTCACAATCTGTGAGGTAGGTATTAGCAAGACCCCCAAGTTATAAAAAAGGAAACTGAGGCTTTTTAACAGTGAACTTCATTTCAGTTCCTTGTCTACGTATTTTAATGGATTTGAACTATTGCTTAGTGAGGTTTAATTAGGTGAATTAAAGAGTGAATAAATGAGTCAAATCTGGGGGCTTGTTTGGGTTTCTGTGCACTATCAGGTTAACATGGGTCAGCTATGGTGGCTTCCCACAGTGGGACTGTCCTGACAGGACGGTGTGCTGGAAGGTGGGCTCATTGTCCCCTGGCACAGAAGCGGGCATGGCTGAGGGGAGATACGGAGTCAGGTGTGAAGCTCCAGTGCCCTCAGTCCTGGCTCCTGGCTGGGTCACCTTGGCTGTCCTCTTGCCCCACCCCTGGAGGGTTCAGCTTTGCTCATGTGATAAAGGGGGCTCCTGATGACCACATCGCAGGGTGTTTATGAAGTGTGTCAAGTACTTGTGCAGGGCCTGGTATACAGCCGGCGCTCAATGTGTGTTCCTACCGCCCTGCTGCAGGCAGAACTCAGCCTCACTTTGACAAGGATGAAGTCGGAAGGCACAGATGCCTGCTGGCTTTGTCTCTGGGAACCCAAAGTGCTCCCAGGGGCCCGGCAGGTACCACAAGTGAAGAAGGCTGTCCTAGGAATATCACAACCTTCCACAGGGGAATTGTCTTCCCAGTCTCATTAATGTTAGAGACAAGAAGAAAAGCTCTTTTTTAAAGGAAGATGCAGAATTCTTTTAATTTGCTAGAAAACCCAAAGGGAAAAATCCTAAAAAGCATTTGGGTCTTAGAAAGATCAGTAGCATTCCTACTGCCAGCAATATTAGAAAATATAATGACATCAGAGACAGTAAAACTTAATTCAGGTGTCTATTCCTTGGCCATGCCAGGGGGAGCCTTCCAAACTGGATATCTGATTGGATTGTACACAAAACCTTTGAAGGTGTCCCATAATTTTCAAGGTCAAGTTCAAATCCCTTGGTAGCAACACACACACACACACACACCCTGCTCTGGGTCAAGCTATCATGTCTTTCCCTTTACCTTAAAGTGTCCCCTTCCCCTTCTCCTCTGCCAGGCTTCCCCCATCCCCACCCCACCCCTTCCATCAAGGCTCAGTGCAAGCCCTGACTCTCTGAGATGCATCCCAGGATGTGGACCCTCAGCTGTGGCCCCTGGATCCCTCTGGGCACTGACCACACTGTATCATCACTGTTGATTTATTGGTCCATCTTGCCTACTAGACTATCAGCTCTGTAGGAGCAGGAATGAAGTAAAATTAATATTCCCTCTACATTTAAACTCTAGTATCAGAAAAAGCATCAGCCCATAAAAAGTTGCAAATAACCATGGAATCACAAGGGTGGGGAAGCAACAGGGATGGGTGGGGACTCAGGCAAAATGAAGAATATCTTCACCCACTTACCCAGTCCAGCCAAGGCGGCAGTCATCTCTCAGCTCCTGCCGGACAATCTGATTTTTTAAAAGAAGCTAGTAATGGAGATTTTTATGTGAAATTTCCCCAGTTTCTCAATGTGGCAACCAGTTCTATTTTTTTAAACCCATAAAGGCCAGAAAACAGGTTCTTGGCTGATTCCCAGTTATAAACTCTAATCCAGAAAGAAGAAAAAGACTTCAAGAACCAAAACAGCACACAAATGTGATTCCAAAATAGAGATTTATTTATTAAGAATTATTTAGTTTCTGCATAAAAATCACCAATTATTCCTTATTGGATTTTAAACACACATCAATTCTTTGTGGGGGTTCCTCCATTCACCCCAACACTTTCAAAAATACAGCTCTTTTTAGCGCCAGGAAGGACAGTTAAGGCAGCGAGGCGTTTCCTTGGGTCTTAGCATCTGGAGGGGTCCATTGTCTCCCTCTCGAGAGAATACATGATAGGTAGTTTCTGAGGTTGGAAAAGCTGTCCCTGAAGAAAATAATTATGCAGAAGAATGCAAATACAGTCATCTCTGGTCAATTATTTGTGCCTGGTAGCTTTAAAGTCCCCTTCGTCATGGTCATCAAAAGCTTGCTGGCTGTTTTCAGCTATAAAAAAACTTGTCTGGAAACAGACAGTAAGAAACAGTAGGGTCTGTAATGACAGTGCTGTCAGGCTGGGCTGGGTGACCACATAAGAACACATACCAGTTTGCTTTAAAAAAAAAAAATCCACAATAGGGGTCCTGTATAATTTAAAATCAAATTCCTCATGGTCCTTAAAATACCCCAAACATCATTGAGCCAGATCCTCAGAAAAACACGTGTTTATTTTTAAAGTGAGGTGTAAGTCATGGCTCCCCTAGAGTCATGCTTTACGTGGAGGAAAAAAACCCAAAAAATCCCTAGGACTTGATTTATTAGCAACATTAATTGATTTTTACCACACTGAAATGAAGGTATAAAGTCAGTCTGTGCTGTTGTGAAATTCAAAGGTGATTCAGAAGTAGGATCATTATTTATTGCTCCATTTAGATAGTCCCAAAAAATGACTTTAAAAAAACCAGAGCCGTCCCCTGCAAACTCTGGTCAGACTCTGGGACGCACTGGGGGTCGTAGGCAGGCAGGCCAGAGGTGGTCTGCCAGCTTAATTCACAGTGATTCAGGTTTGTGTTTCTGCGAGTGGCTGCATGTCAGGGGGCGGGTGGCCCGAGTGTGCCCGCCACTGGGCACACCTACACCTTGTAGTTGAGGTCGGCGTTCATCTTAGTGTACATCTCGTAGATGACGTCGATGGTGGCTGTGTAGTTGACCAGGAAGAGACGGACCTTCTCCAGGCATTCTTCCTCTGTCACAGTCTGGCCTTTGGAGAGTGCTTTCAGGAAGTCAGACTTATAGGGTGCCGCGTACAGCGCTGCCTTGAGACGGGCGACAAGGGAGGTGGCAGTGTTAGTAGGGGCCAGAGCTACCATGGCTGGCATGATGGGGTTCCGGGAGAGGACTTCCCCCAAGGTCATGCTGGACAGGGGTCTGCGCTCTTCATGGCATTGGAAAGGAAAAGGCAAAGGGCAATGTGAGGGACAGCAGGGAGGGCGACAGCAGCTTTGGGGACAGACAGACCTGGGTTCAAATTGCAGCTTGTGCCACTGACTAGCTGTGAGCCCTGAGCAAGTTACTTAGCCTCTCTGAGGCTCAGTTTCCTCTTCTGTAAAATAGGGATGATCATGGCACCCATTTCATAGGGTGGCTTTTGTGAGGATTAAGGAGACTGTGCAAAGTGCTCAGCATAACACCAGGCACACAGTAGGTGCTCAGCACAGTGCCAGGCACACACAGTAGGTGCTCAGCACAGCACCGGCACATAGTAGGTGCTCAGTACAGTGTCAGGCACACAAAAGGTGCTCAGCTAGGATGAGTCTCTTCCCTCTGGGTTCCCTGCTCTGGAGAAAGTGAATGGCTTCTTTGGAAAACCGACTTTCTGAGCAGGGCAGAAAGCCGTTAATCTGTGCTGTGGCCTCTTTGGTCCTTCAGGGGGCAACACTTCCCTAAATTTCAGGCCCACCCTGACACTTGAAAATTCCAGAGAATCAGAAATGCACTGAATTTCAGAGCCAGAAGGAAAAAGAACAACTGGATGAAAAGGCTACGAATTTGACAGGGTGAGAAAATTACAAGTTATAATACTGTCATTAAGAATGGAAATAGTAAATAGTTTTGATATACTGAGTGTAAAGCATGTGCCAAGCTTTACACTAGATATAGATTAATTCGTTTACAGTGGCCCTCTGAGGCAGGGCCTATTTTACACCCATTTGAAAGACAAGGATACTAAGGTTCAGGTTGTAGAATCCCAGCCCCTATCTTCTTCCTGTGTGACCTTAAGCAAGATACTTAACCTCTCTGAGCATCCATTTCCTCATCTGTGAAATGGGGATAAGGGTAGTACCCACCTCAAGGTGTACTGCTGAAGGTTACAATCATGGTCAGCCCACCCTGGGCCAGGGACACAAGACACACTCTTCCTACTGAGGTGGTGGTTGTGAGGCCTTCACAGGGGCAACGCATTCCAGGGAGGGCAGGGCTTTTGTGACGCCCACCCAGGACGGGCCCTGGCCCAGCCCTGCCAGGGTGGATAGCCCAGAGGTGGCCATATTTCCCACCTGGTGACTGGCTCTTCCTGCCCACGACTTGTGCCATGTGGGAAAGAGACTGGCTCATGAGACCCTGGTTCTCATGGCAGTAAGGATGGGCGGGTGGTGGGAGCTGCAGGTGGGAGGGTGGCCACGACAGGTTGGGCGAGATGAGGACACCGTGAGAGGCAGAGCAGCCAGCAACAGTGTGTCGGGCACCCTGAGAGCCTCTCAGCCTGGCAACCCCAGGGGTCCTCAGGTAACGAAACCAGTGCTGAAGCCTGTTTCCAGGAGCCCTCACCAATATCACCCCAACACTAGCCACCAAGAGCCCCACAGGCCAGTGTCCCCCATGGGCACAGGGGCCCTTCTCCGCCCCCCACCCCCCCCGCTCAAGGTGAAGATCTAGGCTGGATCTGAGAGGCCAATCATGCCAGCCCACCATCAAGCTGGGTCCTCAGTCTCTGCTGGGGTTTCTCCCGTGGCCCCCTAGTCAGGCCTCCCAGGACGAGGCACCTCAACAGAACACCATGGAGAATGTAGGACACCTGCCATGGCCACAGGTGGGGCTGGGCAAGCGCACGTGAGACGGCCCCTCAGTGCACCAGCCCCCCACATGGAAAGGGAGCCAGTCCTGAGCCCAGGGGGACAGACACAGGCTCCACGGGGCCACAGCTAAGGAGTAGCAGGGCGGAGAGTGGACCCCACAAGCTGCTGATCCTCCTGGGCCTGGGGACAAAACGGGGCTCCCCAGCTCACCTGGAAGATCTTCTGCACGATCCAGCCGTGGTACTTCTTGAGAGCCATCTCGTAGGCCTTGGTGGCATTGACGCGGATGTGGTTGGGGTGGTTCTCGTCCCGCTCCCCATCACAGATGCTCTGGAGGAAGACCTGGATGAAGCGGAGGCCTCTGCGGCCCAGAAAGGAGACAGGTGGCTCTTTAGGACACTGCCCGCTCTCACCTGTGGACCAGCCAGCACCCCCTGCACAGGACAGACCCTGACGACTCTGAATTAAGCACCTACTGTGGGACAGGAATATATGCACACAAAAGGGGATGATTATTCCATAGCTGACGTCCACGTAATGTGATCCCGGGCTCAATGTATCTCCCCAGTACCCTGTCTACACTAGGCCTGGTGCCGGCCCCTGACCACAGTCCCTGCTGGGCTGCAAGGTCTACAAGGGCAGGGTCTGGGCTTGCCTTGCCCATTTCTGTGTCCACATAGCCTCCCACAGGCCAGCATGTGGCCGGCAACCATCAGTGCTTAACGACTGAAGCCACAGTGCTGGCCTTCCAAGGGGTCCTGGACCACAGGCCATGGACACGCTGGGCACACTGACGGGCCTACCCCGGGCCCACGCTCCCCACTTCTACCCCTACCCTGAGCCACTGCCTACATCCTCCACGGCCACTTGAGCCCTTCCTCCAGGGCTGATGCCTTGAGAGCCAGAATAGGCGCGGCATGGCAAGGTGACCGAATCGAAATTCAGATCAGTGCCAGTCCTTTAAAACAAATCATCTCATCTGCTCCCTCAGACCCATGAACCTTACTCAGCTCAGCATGATCTGCCCATTTCACAGAGGAGAACACTGAGGCACTGCCAAAAGGCTCAGTCAAAGGCTGGGAGTGAACCAATCTGGGCTCCTTCCTTTGCCATCCCTTGCTGTCCTCCTGGGGGTCCCTGGATGAGCTGCTCTGCTCCCTCCCTGCAGGGGCTCCCCCGGACTCATCCCACCTGGCTGGAACTCTTCCTTAATCTCAGCTCTTCTCTCCCTGCTCCCACCTCATATTCAGAGCCCTGGCTAGACCAGGCCCTCCTGGAGCTACAGACACACCATGCCTCTCCTGCCCTCCCACTTCTGCAAGGCCTCACCTACCTGGGACCTTCCTGCTGAGTCTGGGGGACTCTGCTTAGTGACCCTCGTCCAGGAAGCCCTCTCTGACCTCTGCTCCAGGCTCTGATACCCTGCTGTCAGGATCCACTTACCACCCTGACACCCTGCCTAGACCGTGACATCCTAAGAGGACCGTGCCTTGTTCGATGTGGCACGTCACTCACTTGGCACTATGCACAGCGGGTGCTCACTATGTGCTTGACTTGGTGGTGTCCACCTGCAACTGCATTCCCAGCGGCCCGGCTCTGCCCACCTCTGATCTGGACACCAACAATCTACCTGATCTGAACATCGCCACCTGCCTCGCTCCTCCTGAGAAACCCAGAGAACCTGCTGATGGATGGACTCGGGGCATTCCTCATTCCAGGTCTATGAGTCTCACAGACAAAAGGCAGGCAGCTCAGGGGGGCAATTCCTAAAACATGCCATAAGGGTTCCTACCCCAGTGCCCACATGACCACACTCTCCAGGGAGCAGACCTTCCCTGTTCCATTGTACTGAAGCGCATGTTTGGGCGGCGGGGGTGCCTAGCTTTAGGGGAAGGGGACAGAGACAGAGAGGAGTTGGGACAGAGAATGGGTCCCCGGCTTCCTAGCTGCCGGGGGCTGTGGTGTTTGCACAACTAAAGGAGAATTTCCATAGCTGGCTGAGAGCAGTGTGAGCTAAGCAAACAAGCTGCCTGGCCTCTCTGAGCCTCGGTGACCTCATCTGTTAGATGGGGACAATTGCATGTGGCTTTACATGTTTGCTATGAAGACAACAGGAATGGTGGTTACAAGCAGTGTCAACTCTGAGGTAAGATCGTCTGGGTTCAACTCCCGTATCAGGGTACCCTGCCCCCAGCCCACAGGACAAATTTCTACAAATTAGAGTTCCTTCTCCTCGAGATGCCGTTTTTCTGTCAAGAAGCTGTCAAAATATACAAATCTACCGTGTGCATAATGTGACCAGCCCTAGGCAGGACGTTTCTGTGCAGTGCACAACCTGTACAACTGTGCTCGGCCACTCGATCTCAGCTCTGCCCCTATAACCTGGGCATATGAGTTGGCCTCCACAAGCCCAGGGGCCTCCTCTGTGAGATGGGGATAACTCCACACGTAACTCATAGCATGTGAAATGCGATCAGGCTTATAAAGAGCTTGGCACCATACCCAGAGTGTGCGCTAGCTTCCTATGCCTCTGATGGGACTGGAAGAAGGAAGTCCTGTCACCATCAGGCAGTCCTCGGGCCCTGAGGTGCTTTTCCTCAGGCACTAACTCGCATAGCAAAAGAAAGAGCACTGATGTGATGGAAATGGAAGTGACCTTCCTTCCCCATCACAGCAGACACAGCAGGTTAGTAGCAGGGATGGATGTCCATCTTCTGCAGTGCAGGCTGCCAAGCCCAACAGCCACAAACACCCTGCCGCCCGAGCCCATCACCTTTTCAGCCACATCAGCGCCAGCGTGGCCCCCACTTTGGGCCACTCTGCTCCATACATTTCCTTCTCTACCTCCAGGATGTTCTGCAGGGTCCGGAACTTGGCTGGGTTGGTGTCATACACAGCTTTGATTTTCTGAAATGGAGCACACGGGGTTTTCCCCTCGGAAAGGCTGTCCACAGACGGCCGGCCTGCGCGCTAGGTGGGGCACCCCGCCAGGGCCTCCGTCTCCTTCCCACCAGGAACACCGGGAAAGGCAGTAGAGTTTGTCGTGGCAATAACGACCATGTTTGCATTTATGGAGCCGGGACACGCAAAGTGCTTCACGGGCGCTGCCTTATCGGATGCTCACAGCAACCCTGATGCTGCTCTGTCATCATCCCAATTTGCAGATGAGGAAATGGAGACTCAGAGAGGGGCAGTGACATGCCCAAGGTGACACAACTGGTGCTGGTGGGAGGAGGTTCCCACACAGGCTAGCTCCAGAGTCCAAGTTCTCCAGCCACTCATGATACCACCTCAAAGACCAAGTTTTGCTTTTGTGGACAAGTGGAAATAGGCTGTTAGGGTTCAAAGACATCCAGGAACAAGGCTCCTGAGTGGAGCTGGGCAGTGTGGGTCTGAATCCCACCTCTGCCACTTCCATGCTGTGTGACTTCAGGTGAGTCCTTCAACCTCTCTGAGCCTCAGCTTCCTCATCTGTAAAATGGGGATGACAACAGAACCAGCTTCAAAGGGCTGCTGTAGTGAAGAAACGAGACAATGCAGTGCAGCCAAGCCCTAGGCCAAGCCCTAAGTCGATCCACATGGGGAGAAGCTCAGTGGCTGGGGGAGAGCGCCAGGAGCTCCCAGGATGGAGGAAAGGAAGAGCCGGCCAATGCACCCGTGGACTTTACAGTTACTTCTTATTTGGATGCAAGGCCCAGTAGGTTCCTTCTCGGGTCAACTCTCAGACTGTGGTCCCAGTTACGCTGTGACAGGGTGGCATGACCACATAGGAGGACCAAGAGCCAGGAGCCCTGAGTCGGGTAAGCTGGGGATCAAGCCCATTTTCGATGTCTCCTTCCTAATCGTTGGCCTGGGGAGCTTGTGGTGGGGAGCAGGGCCCCGGTGACCAGGGTGTTTATATTCCTGATGCGGTACCAGGGCTGCAGGTGCCGGGCCAAGTACCTACCGTGATGTTGCCACTTATGTCTGCCTTGATTGGAGTAAACACTGGGGACCCGAGGCAATCTGGGAACAAAACAAGAGAGATTTAGATACCCAACAAGAGCCATGGAGGCCTGGGGACAGGGGCGGGGCGGGGAGGTCACTTGATGTGTTTAGGGAAAGGCAGAGCTGTTTATAGGTGTTAAAAATGTTCCTGGGCAAGTTAATTTGGTGTGCTAGGCTCCGGGNTGAGGGGAGGTCACTTGATGTGTTTAGGGAAAGGCAGAGCTGTTTATAGGTGTTAAAAATGTTCCTGGGCAAGTTAATTTGGTGTGCTAGGCTCCGGGTAAGACCAGTTTCTTACTGCAGGACTTATCAGAGCCTTTAAAATGCAACTGGACTATCTGGGGGGGGCAAACCCTTTTGTCCACAGCACCCTTCCACACTAGAACTGTGTTATCCCATAGAGCTTTCTGCCAAGATGAAAATGTTCTGTATCTGCAATATAGGCTACATGTGGCTACTGAGCACCTGAAATGTGGTAAGACTGAGGGACTGAGTTTATAGTTTTGACTCTCATTCATTTGAATTTCAACAGCAACATGTGGCGGGTGGCTAGTGTAGTGGATAGTTCAGCTGTGTGGTATCTTGTAGAACTGGTGGTCTAAGAAACCCATCTTGGCCAACAAGGCAGATCACTGCTATAATCATTAACCAACTGGCCAGGAGGCAGACTCTTAGGAGGCGGGAGAAGAGCGGCCAGATTTATTAAAGATGACCTTCTCATTCACCAGCTGATAAGGAAGAAATGAGCTGACAACTCTGAGGTTCCATGGTTCTGAGATGCTGCACAAGAGCCCAGGAGAGCACACCAGCAACGGGATCAGTCACAAAAGTGCTACGAGGGTGGCTTCAAACAATCCACTTCCAAGACACTTATTGTGCTCATCTCTGGAGTCAGGATGATCTTAACTGGAGGTGTGTTTCGTTCCTTGGTGGCTCACAAAACAACAGGGCATCTTAAAATAGGTAACACATTAGATTGAATGAAAGGTGGGCCTAGAAACTGGCAGTGCTTGGAACTCTGGGCTGTGCGTGAAATGTGAGCAGCCTGTGGCCTGCCTCTGCTCCTTTCCCTGCTTTGTGACCGGTCTGGCAGGCTGTCACAGAGACCAGAGGCATCCCAGGGGGCAGGCTCCTTGCTAAGTGCTTGGCACAGAGGAACCGCACACCGAGTGCCTGGTTCTCCACACCGAGTGCCTGGTTCTCTCCTGCGCGGGCTCAGTGTGACTTCGCCCTCAGAGCCTGAACACAGACGACACCTGCTCACTGTCTTCACGGCCGAGTCCAGAGTCCATGGGACAAAGATGCCCGAGAGGCCACAGTGGGTACCAAACCCACAGGAGGGAAATGCCAGTCCTCACTTCCCCTTGCCTGCAGGCCAGGCAGGGGTGTCAGTGTGCTGGCCAACTGACCACATGGGAGTAGAGGATTAAGGAAGAGACATCTGCAGGCCAAATGCCACCCAAGGTGACCCGGCACACCTGGCTGGCCATCTGGAATGTTCTAATTGCAGCTGTTAAAAGAGGTGGATTAGGGAAACCACATTAACCTATAAATGAAATGCCCCAGAGAGAAAGAGGAAAAAAAAAAAAAAGAACAAAATAAATAAATGAAAGGCCCCATAACCCAAATGGAAAGAGAGTGGGTTAGGGATCCAAACAGACTGGGCTTGACTCCTGGCCCAGCCATTCCCCAGTTGTGTGCCTCAGTTTCCTCACATGGCAATTGGGGCGGTTACAATACTTTTTCATAGGCTTGTGGTAGGAATTGAAAATTGTGCATTGAACGCATTTAGCAGAGCGCCCAGTGCATAAACACTCAATATATGGACTTCAATCATTTTTATGACTTATCACGACTAGGGTCAGGCCCCATGGTCCAGCAAATGTCACCCAGGGGTCACCAAGCTTGCTTGGAAGCCACCAGGTCCCCCAGCATTCTCCACTGAGTGGGGACACACTTGGCCTGTGCCCCCTGCCCCCTCTGCTATCCGCCTTCCTGAGGCCCCTCATTGGGCCCAGGGTTCCTAGCACAGAATCGTCAGACTGAGCAGCGAGCTTTCTCCTCTCAGCAGCCAGGTCTCTCCCCCGTGCCTGATGGAGGCCTGATGGGGGCGAATCTCACTCCTCGGGGCCACATTGGAACCTCCCCTAGGGTGCCCCAAAGGAGCTGGGCTGTGGTTACAGGCAGCCTGCCCTGCCTAATCTTGGTCTGTCCGGCTTCCCAGATAGGCCTGCCAAGGGCATTCAGGAGGTAACTACTCCCTCCCACCCTTGAATCTTGCCTGGTGTGTCACTGATCTCATCCTGCAGAGGCCAACCAACCTGGGGAGGTGGTGCAATTCGCTAGCCCTGGAACGTGTTCTCTCCTGGGACGCTTACCACTGGCTCCTCCCAAAGGAAATCACATTCTATCTAGACTTCAAGAATAAAGAGCCAAGATTTTCCTCCTCCAGTGACTGTTTCCCTCTTGATTGTGCAGCCAGGGGTCATCGATTCTGACCCTCACTGGGGTCAAGCAGATGCCACAGATGGGCTGTGTGGGAACTGGCAAAACCCTTCCAAAGAGATGGCTGCTCTTAGCTTCAGCCAATGACTTTAAGTCCTCAACTTTCAAAAACATACAATGTTTTCATATATAAGGTGGATTGATGGATGGCTAGAGGAACGTATAGGTAGAGTAAGATACTAGTGGTAGAATCTAGGTGGCAGGTGTATAAATATTCACTGTAATATTCTTTTGACTTTGTTGTATATTTGAAAATTTTCATATAAAATGTTGGGGAAAAAATATCAAGGTTTTTTTTTTTTCTGTTCATAAAAGTCATATGTCTTCCTTTTACTTTTTTCTCCAAGTCCACTCTAGTGTGACAGCGATTGTAGCTACATGTGCAACTCTGTTTTCTGTCCGTCTCCCCCACAGACTTGTGCTCTAACAGGAGAGGGACCAGGTTGCCTCAGTCCCCCATGTGTCCCCAGTTTTTGGCACAGAGCTGGACCCCAGTGGGTGCTTAGATGACATCTGTGGCATGAATGAGTGAATGGCTTGTGGAAAACATAAATCTAGAGGTGCTATTTCGTGCCATGCAGTTTTTCTATCTACTTTCAGATTGACTCAATGCACTGGTTCTAAGCATCCATGCTTAGATGACAGAGGATATGGGAAGGGGCTTGGGCCTTAGATTCCCTGTCTGTAAGTGAGAACACTAACAGAGCCTCCCCTGTAGGGCTGCTGTGAAGGGGAGAGATGTCATATGTGCAGAGTGAGTGCTAGGAGCGCTGGCCACGATTGTTCAGACCGCTACGGGCTGATTTTCAAGGAAAGCCGTAGAACCAGGGCTTGGTAACCGTTCACCATGGGCCATGCGTGGCTGGTCTCGCAGCTCTTCCCAAAGACTCAGGTTATTCAACATGCATTTCTGAGATGCAGGAAAATGTTATTTGGCTCTGTTGGCTCTGAAAACAGCTCTTGTGCAGTTCTGAGCAGCCCTGCCTGGTAGCGGGGAGAAAGGCTTTTTGTTTTTTGTTTTCCTGACAGTGCGCTACGTGAGTCACGAGGCCACCAGGGTCAGTGGGAGCCAGCCCGACAGCAGCTGTTACTGTGTGTCATGGCCACCATACAGGGACATAGCTGATGCTCGAGTGTGGGGTATGGAGGTGGGGCCTAAAGCGTACTTCTGGAGCTGGGAGTGGACCAGAAGCAGATAGGGGTGTGAGGTGGACCCCAGAAAAGAGGAGCGGCAAGGGCCACCCCAGAATTCACTTCCATGCAGCGTCCAGAGGGAGTAGCTGGCAGGAAAGGCACTTCTGTGTGCACATCAGTTTGGAGCATCTGTAAATGGGTCTCTTATAATTAGGGGGAAAGCAGTGTAGTGCTCTAGAGTCTGCCAGTCCTGGGTTCGAATCTCAGCTCTGACTTTGGACAAGTGACTTCACTGCTCTGGGCTCAGGCCCCTCACTTCCCACAGCACAGAGGTGCTGTGCACACAGGAGGCGCTCCAGGTGCAGCTGAGCTGAAACCTGCTTCAACGTGAGCCACTGAAGGTTCTAGGCTTAAGATTGTCTGTGGGGCAGCCCAAAGCCCCAGGCCCAGAAAAGCCCAGGGCTACACAGCGAGAGCCAGGCCCCCAGACACAAGGACAGGGCCAAGGCTGGTTCTACTGCTCGCTCACCTTTCTTTCCAGAATGTTTCCATCTGTCTGTGTGAACTCCACAAGAACGAGGTAGCTCTGACAGGAAAACCAGAAGACGACTTTGACATCCAGGGAGACGGTGGTGGCCTTTCTATCAGTTTAGACTCAAGCTGGCCCCGCTCTGGACACGTTTCCAGCAGGTTTTCCGGCCTTACCTTTCCTACAGAATGCGGCCCTGCCCCAACATTACCTTTCTTGTTTTACCAGTTCTGCAGTTACCCAAACTTGTTTTTTTATTGTTGTCAGCAAAACAGGCTCTTTAAAATGCCACCCAGAACCTGCCAGGAGGGAGGGAGGGTGGCTGGGATGGTTTTCTCCTTCCTCATCGTATGTCAAAAACAAACAAACAAATAAAAAAGTAAAAACAGAAAACAAAAGAAAATTCAGATACTATCCTACCATCTTACTTCATACCATGTTTTCCCAAAATAAGACCGGGTCTTATATTAATTTTTGCTCCAACAATCTACATTTATTCATTTATTCATGTACAAAAACCTACATTTATTCAAACAGTCATATCTGGCTGACGATCTTAACTGGGGCTTATGTTTGGGGTAGGCCTTATATTACGAGCATCCTGAAAAATCATGCTAGGGCTTATTTTCCAGTTAGGTCTTATTTTCGGGGAAACATGGTAGAGCCAACTCTGATGGGCACAGATTCTCAATAATACAGTCACGCCTTGGTTATCTGGAACATGTGGCAAGTGGCTCCTTATTTACTATAGAAGGTTTTCCTAAGCATGCTACTCAACCCAGGAGGCATAAGAAAAAGAGAAAGAAATCTGATTACAAAACCCAGAAACCTTCTACATCGGGCAGAGGGG